AGCAGGCTCCCGTTTGCCTTTCACCCAACAACGACAACCGCCTCACGAAACGCTATGTTGTAGCGTTAATAAAGGAAACAATTTAACAACATTGCTTGTCAAAGTACCTATACAATTTTATTTTTTTGAAGCAATATTTTTAGTGGCCCGAGCGGGCAAGTTGCCCGCTCGGGCCACTAAAAATATTGCTTCAAAAAAATAAAATTGTATAGGTACTTTGACAAGCAATGTTGTTAAATTGTTTCCTTTATTAACGCTANGTACCGAAAACGTACCGAACCGAACTGTGACCTAAAAACCGAGGTACGTACCGAACTGAAATGTTTGTGAACCGTTACACCCCTAGTAACTAATGAAATAAAGAGGCAATCACCAGTAAAGCGAAATCAAATAAGTGGCATCATTATAAAAAAGTAAGCAGTAGCAGCAAGTAACAGCATTAATGGATTGTAAAAAGTGTATAACATACACCACAATCTCTCAAAGCACAGTCATCTGTCTCTATTGGAGACAGTAGGGTTACAGAAAAGACATGAGAGGATGTCGAGGGGTATGAACAGAATCAAACCAGGGACATGCAAAGCCTCTGCTGCTGCTGCTGCTGCTGCTGCTGCTGTTTCTGTGTTTCTTCCCAATGACTGCCTCTCTCTGCCCTCAGGCTTTAAAGGGAAGTCCAAGCCCAACCTGTTGAAGCAGGAGACGAGCAGCCTGGCCTGCAGCCTGAGGATCCTGTTCAAGATGTACTCTGACCGTCAGCTGCAGGACTCGTGGCCTGACATCCAGACACGCCTGCTGCTGTGAGTGCCAAAGGGTTTTGTTCACAATAAGAAAACCAAAGCATCGTTTTTTCTATTGCATGGTTGAACTTTCGATAAATAAGCACAAACTGTGTATCACAGAAGTGTAGCCATGTTTGTTGCTCTGAGCTGCGTAAACTGTTTTGACACATGGCTCATACCTCATCATATATTTATGAAGTGTACTCTCTGTGTGTGTGTTCAGCCTGGTACAGATCACCTTGTGTTTTTCGCAGAGCAGCTGCACTTGACTCATGTATTACACTCATGTGGGCTGCTGATCATTAAATAACTGGTGTTGGTGCTTTAGTTTCAAGATGTGTAGCCTAGACCTGCTCTACTCGAATAACAATAGTATACAAAACATAATATTTTGTTGATGATAATCCTGTGTGTGTGTGTGTGTGTGTGTGTGTGTGTGTGTGTGTGTGTGTGTGTGTGTGTGTGTGTGTGTGTGTGTGTGTGTGTGTGTGTGTGTGTAGGGTGTGCAGTGAAGCTCTGGCGTACTTCATCAGTCTGACCTCAGAGAGCCACAGAGAGGCCTGGAACAGTCTGCTGATGCTGCTGCTCACCAGGACACTACGGCTGCCTGACGCCAAGGCAGGGACACACACACACACACACACACACATACTTTCAGCTATATTTACATTGGAGCTTTGGGTCATGAAATCTCAACTAGTATCATACATTTTGAATAAGCCTGGGTCATAAATATAATGGAAAGTTGATCAAATACAAGATTATTGACTTGCATGCCCCTTGTGGACAACATTTGTAGTGTTTGCATAAGCAGCATTGCGACTTGCAGTACAGAAGTTTACCTTGCTAGTGCCTGCATTTATTTTGCAACCTATTCATATATTTCTGGTTCAAACCAACTGTTTGCAGGATCTATGGCAATGAGGTATTAGAGCAATTCCCTATGTAAGGTTATTACTATTATGTGACAATGCTAAAACAAGAAACATTGTGTTTAAGCCCCGAATGTAAATTAATATATTGACGTCAAACCATAAATTAAATTGACATATTACACACCAATCTAGGAGTAAAAGGGCAAAGTCAGTTCACAAATACTGCTTTTCTCTCCATCTGTTGTATAAGTGTCCATAACAGTTTTTATACTTTTCTTGGCTGTTCATTCTTGATCCTGCCCAGTGGGTCGACGGTGCAGCCGGTTTATGTATTAGCTTGCATTTATAATGTACAGCAAACCAAAGCACAAGAGCAGTGCTCAAAAGAGAGAGGGAGGGGGGGCACCAAAACAATATTTGCACCGGGGCCATTCACAACCTTGTTACGCCACTTATTTCACATCTCTTGGATGGTAAACACAGTTATGAGCTCTCACCTATGACTCATGCACACTCAATTTGACAGCTGACTCACTGATGAGTCACAGCAGCACATGACTCAGGGTTTCTTTCCCAAACTATTGCAGATTTTAGTTAAAAAACAACCCAGCATGCAACTTAAAGCTGTAGGAAGTATTGGCGCCAGGCAGCCAGCTTTAGAGGAAAATGCTAACACCACACTAACCACTGCATCAACAAAAAATAAAACATTATTGTTAAAGTGGACTGGATGGCACCAGCCTGTTAAAACAAATCTTTAAATTGTGTGTATTTGCCCAAATGCTATTTCGTAATTCCCTGGCCTCAGAAACACAACATTTTAACGCCCTGCTGTAAACTCTTTGGCCTCCGAGCTCCACCCACACAGAGCAGCCGCCCTTCCTTTCTCTGTCCTGGAAATATTTCCAAAGACACTGGCTACATCTTTGGCAAATACTTTTGTCGGTTGAGATTAAAAGTACAGTTCAGCCCAATCAAATACATATTTGCCCTCTTAGTGAATAGATGAAAACATAAATAACAATAAGCTAACTAAAATAAAAGTAATAAGAGACATAATTGAGATATATGAAATGGGACACCGAGATAAACTATCCAAAACTTTACAGAAACTAAACATAAAGTATTTACCATATATATATATATATATATATATAAATAATAACTCACACGTGTTGAGTTGGAGAGAATAATGTTTTATACGGAGGCATTTCCAAGCTAAAACCAAATGGGCCCTATTGTTCTTTTTGGGGTTTTCCTTTTCCTGTAATGTGTTCTTATATATTTTTAAGCATGTAAATGGTCTGCTAAATTCCCAAACTTCCTCCTGCGGGAGTTTCTCTCCCACACTCACATGAATACTACTGTGTAACATACGTTTACAGATATATTTATGAAGTACAATACAAGACAAGCTCAAGTTTCATTTGTGGGCCGCATTCCATTATACTTTTTTAATTTGCTGAGAGCCGATCCAAAATCGCCCTTGGGCCGACTTTTTGGAACATTAAAGCATGGAACATGTCCCAGTAGAGGCACAGAATACAAATGTGAACCTGGGAATGAGCCTTATAGGGCCCCATTAACCAAATAGCCATAAAAAGATCTAGCACTATCTGCGAAATGGTCCAAAAACATTCATTTCATCATACTGGACGGATTAAAATAGGTAAGATACAATAAACACAGATATATTAAAAAGGGAAAATAATTGTAAACATTAAATGCATTTCAGAGTAAAGTAACTTGTTTGGTTATAGTGCTATTTATTATTAAGGGTGTTTAAGACCTTTAAATCCACAGACCTGGTTGTACGCAGTTTCATGTAGGAACTATTTTCTTTCTACCAAACAACACCTGTTGGCTTGTTAGCACAGGTCTGCTGTCTGAGTAGATGCAGGCCTCCTTCTGCATATTTGGTGTTGATAGTTGAGCAGAAAAGACAATTGTAAATATTTTTTTATCTGACTTTCTCCTTTTCCAGTTCAAGCCCCATGCTTCCTGCTACTACCCCCACCTGTGTGAGATGATGCAGTTCGACCTGATCCCCGAGCTGCGGGCCGTCCTCAGGCGCTTCTTCCTGCGCATCGGCTCCGTCTTCCACATTGCCGCTCCCGAGGGGGCCCGAATTCCCATATCCTAGAATGAGTGGGTGCAGGATCGGGTGGAGAAATCAAAAGGACATTTGTAGGTTGACACAAAAGAGACTGGAACAGACCACAGAGGAGGAAGAGGAGAACGACTGCAGCTTTTCTGTCTCTGTTCAGCTTCTCTACTGCACTCCGCTTGTAGGAAAGTCTTCACCCTGTCCTCCTCCTGTCTTTTTCTTGGGGATGAACAGCACTGTGACCAGCGCTCTCTGCTGACCGTCATTCATCGTCCCCCTGACTCATCTCAATGACAAGAAGAACTGTAAACAGATAATTTATTGATATTGAACCCGATTTTGTTGGTTTGTTTTTCTGTTTTTTTTTTTTTTTAACAAAAGAGGTCTTTACGCCGACGATACCATTGAATTAGATGAACCTTACATTTGCGATTTTTGGCCACCTGTGCCTGTTTGAAAACGATGACACCGTCAAGTGTCGCCCTTATTGTGAGTTTGGTGATCTAATGAAAATATGTTGTAATATCTGAACCCTCATGTGTCGATGCTCATCCCAAAGCATTGTTTGTCACTTTAATGTTTGTGTTCCTGTTATTCGGTACCGGGCTGTTGACTGAAACTCTGAGCTGCAGGTGAGAAGAATCTGCATCTCTTCCAACACTATAAAAGATCCCAAGCGGCTTCATTTGAGACGTCTCCGTGACACAACCGTCCTCTCGTCTTTAAAATTCCATATCAATGAGATTTTTCATATTTATTTTACTCTCTTGCTTTCTGATTATTATTCAGGTTGGTTTACAATGAAAGGTTGATCGCAGTCATACATTCCTTTTTTGTGTTGACACTGAAGGACTTAACAGAGTCAGCTCTTCCTGGCTTTTCAATATCAGCTGGCTCATAAAATCCTCCACTTATCCATCATTCGGCCCTATGAGGGGAAACGGTGGTTGTCCATTTCCCACACTCTTTTTGCACACCTGTTGCCGACAGTTTGCTCATGTATTAATGCCTTCCGGTGTATCATCTAGCTCTGGATGTTTGGAGCGCCCGTCAGTCTTGTCACATTCAGCAGTAGAGTTCCGGGACGGAGCAGAACCAAATGTTGCATCTACAGAGAAAGAGGAATCTCTGGATCCTTTGTAGTTTATTCCATGCCTTTTTTTTTTTAAAAGAAGGATTTATGTAATTATTTAAAGTGCATTTAAATATTTTTTGAGAAGCATTCCTTCCCTTGCAACTATGGATGTCTACTTTTCTTCCCTAAAGCTAGGGAATATATAAATATATATATATATATATACAGTACATGAAAAAAGCAGACTGTAAAGTTTTCAATGTAAGATACATAGAAATGAAAGTGCTATACGGTTCTATACATAATATTGTGATGTAATCTTCCAAACATTTGGTGAAGTAATCAATAAACCTGAATTCTGATCCACTTGTGTGCCTTTTGATTAAGTTTATGAAGCTTTAATCCTCAAATATGTTTGACTTGAGTTAATGGTTAATTAATTAACATTAATAAAGGGTGCACTCAAGGTTTTCCAGTTCCAGGGCTTCTGTAAAATAGAAATGTAAATAAAGTAAAAATAAAGAGGCAAGTGTAAATGACAAAGTTCACTTTAAAATGTTAAGATTTTGCACACACATGATTTGCTTTCTTTTGTTGGGAAGTAATTGTTGATATGGATTATTTCTTTTTGTTCAGAAATCTTTTTTCGTTCATTTTTAATTGTGGTGAGATGACAAGACAATCTGCTCAATAATTCAGTGTTTAAAGGTAATTGTAATTATGGGAAAATATCACATCAATACAAAGAGATTGAATAACTCCAAACCAAGGGCTAAACACCTTAAAAAAAGACCCACACAAGTATGGTACCTCAATACAATTATCAGAATCAGAATACCTTTATTAGTCCCACAGAGGGAACTTTGCAGCGTTACAGCAGGAAAGCCACAGACAGCTTAGTGTTGCATATCTTACATGTGTTAAAAAAAGTACTAAGTTATAATATAATAAACAATATGCTAAAAAAAGATAAAAAGTTACAACATTTTCAAAAACAAATCAAATCTTCAAATGAAATCCTGTAGCAGTTGTTAGGATTCAGCAGCCCGGTATATATTACAGTTATTAAAGATGGCATATGTATATAAAGTATATATTTTTATGCAAGCTCGTTCGGCCCACGGGCTTGCATAAAAAAGAAGCAATTTATTGTTTGTACTTTGTAACTCTGATGCGATCTGTATTGTAGGTGTATATAATGAATTGGGATTTTTTATTGGGGGGGAAGCTAGTGTTTAGGAGGGGTTTCCGTTCTTTCTATATAAACATGTCCACAAGGGGGCGAGCTGTGCTCAAACTGGCAGTCGCCATTGCGCGCGCTACATTTTGGGGTAACAAAGGTTACCATGGAGACCTCTTACATCCTTTGTTTTGCAGAGTAAAATAGCAAGCGGCCCAACAGCTGCTACACGGAGCCTTGTAAAAGAAAACGCTATGTTATTATTACTTTAACAAGTACATAGATAAGCAGACAATGAAGAATGTGACTGTTCAACTTACATAATGCACGTAGGGGTCAGACACCCCACAGAAAAAAACGCTTTTAGCTAGTTAGCACCTCATTCTAGCTGGGACTTTCCTCCTGTTAGCCGATTAAGCTAGCTCTCATACAAAGTTAGAAGTGACCGGTGAATTCTCCAGTTGGAGGACTGCATTTGTCCTGCTAATTCATATGTAGCATTCTCTTCACTCTGGATAAATCTCACAATTACAACCTGGGAGTTCTGAACGGAGGCTGGCATGTTGAATGCATTACGCAGAGGACGTAGTTTAGTGGGCGGATCTGAGGCAGCCAGTGGCAGTCTAGGATATCTCCGTCCGCGGCGTTAGCCAGACAGGCTAGCAATGACGGATAGGATTACTACTGCCGGGGTCTGGGTTGTGATCCGCCAGAAATGATTTTATGGAGCCCACCTTACAAGTAAGTATGTCTTGTCAGGCTATGAATGTATTTCTAATGGCTGTGGTTGTTTTGTTGGTGAAATAATGAGCGGAAGGCTGGTAGAGAGGGCGGATTTTCCTCTCTGAATCCAGAGGAAGGAGGTCGACAGATTTGGAATGCGTAACCATAATTTCGTTTCCTGCTAGATGTTTCCATCTAATTCAATTTGACGCCAAATTTATTGGCAAACTGTAGTGAATGAGTTTGCCACTGTAACACACATTTCTATGTGTAAAGCCAATGAAAAAGTGACTACACCAAGACTTTATATGACAGTGACAGCCATCTTCAGTAGCCTACATAGCTGCCTACAGTGGTTTTAGTGCAGGCGGAACTGTGAGTGTGTAAGGCATTGCTCAATAATTAGTTTTGTATTGATTGCTGGCGTGGTCAAGTCTATTTAGAGCCGGAACACAGGGTGGTGTCGCAAAGTGTCATTTTCCTGCATTGTTATTAAACGCCTTTGCTTTTATGTATACAGTCAAGCCCAGTGTTTATGACGGCAGAATGAAAATTGGCCTGTGCTGCCTTCAGGGGCTCTTACTAAAACCCGTTCAACCGTTTTTAAATGGTGTTAAGTGTGTGTTTAATTACAAATGCCTATATGTTTCTCTCTTAAAGAAAAGGCACAATTGAACTGCAATGACACGAGGCTAGAAAAGAGATTTCCAACACTCGTTTATATTTTTGTAAATGTAATGAGCTCTGTCAAATATATAAAGTGAACAAAGAATGACACAGACGAACGTCCCGTCCCTATAATCGAACACTTATTATGAAGGGCTTCTATATCTATCTTTTCTTCACACTGTTGGTTAGGTTGTAACAGCAAACCTTATACTCTCATCCCAGGTTATGTTGCAACATAGCGTTTTATCACATTATGGATGTTGTGGGTCTGGGTTTAAAGGCCAGCATGAACGAGGATTCCTGATATGATCGTGATCCAGATATTCAGACATCTCCGAAGGCGTCGTATTACGTAATAAGGGGGGCTGGGCATACCCAGAGAGGAGGGGGAGACGTAGGAGGATACGTTAAAACCATAGTTAAAACATACACTCGCACACAAAGTGACTATTTTATAGTCTTGGATTGTGACAGCTTTTGTACACACAGACCTACTGACAGACCTATTCCGGACATTTATACAGAGGGAAAGGGAACGGAAAGAGGACAACTCATTTTATTTGTGTATATCGCGAAAGACACAACAAGGTTAGTAATCATATATTTATGTAGTCTTCATAGCATAACAATGGAAATCTGAATTGATGTGGATATTATTACATCCAAACACAGATGCGTCACACAACCAGCCCGTGGTGTACAGAGGAGGTGCTAACATCCTGGCTGTTTATCTGTAACCTTACAGTCCAGATTCCACTGTAATAAACACACTCTCCCTAACTCTGCTTTCTGTGAGTTAATATTTGAACGGTTGTTTTTGCGAATGTTGCATTCAGGTTCTACGTGTTTTCGCTACTCGCTCTATAGAAGCTGCGTGCTGTTTACATCCGAGCTGTGGCTACTAAAACCCGAGCCACGTGCTGTAGCTGGGGAGTGGGGACCATGTGGCTATTGTAAACACTGCTTCCCTCTGGGTGTTCATCCGCTTAACGTGCTGTTTCGGAGTGTTTTACCACCGTATATAGCCTACATTGTCTGCTTCCTAAGGTTTTTTTGTAAGTTTGTAAGAAAAGTTTTTTGGAGCACCTGGCTTGTTTGGCCATGAGCGCGTAGTATCGCGCTTCCATTGTGCTGTGAGGAGGGACTACATTAGCTGTTATGTCACCAGCACTGTTTGCATGGAGCTCCTCTCCCATCCATCTCATGCAATAATAACAGTAGTGGAAGAAGTATTTAGAATCTTTTATTCAAAAAGTAGCAAAACTGAACTCTAAAAATGCTCTGTTACACATGTAATTTCTGTTTTCAAAATCGTACTTTAGTAAATGTACAACAGTAGGCCTATACATCAAAATATACCAAGTATATTCCAAAAGTTACAGCTGATAAAGGAGGAATGTTTTTATTTACTTTATATACTGCTGCTGGATATCTTGACTTGAAATGTTATGAAAAAACGTTTTTTATTGGCGGATTTGAAAGCTGTCTGATAATTGTAGTGGAGTATAAAGTACAATAGTGGCTTCCAAAGTGTAGTAACACTTGAGTAAATGTATTGCATTCTACCACTGGTAATTCTGATATCCAGCCACTTATCAGTTGAAATGCCATTCATGTTATAGGAAAGAGCAGATTGTGTTCCTTTCCCTTCTGTTACAGCAGTGTATGGGATGGTGACAGGCTTCAGTGTGAGGGAGCGGCTTTGTCAGGTTGCCTTTTGTTTCAGGATTGTAAACTCACCTAAGCCCAATAAACTTACTGCAGGATACTGACACAAATGTAGTACAGTCATATTATTGTTTGTTTCCAACGACTTAGTGACAACGATATCACTGGTCTCTCAACTATGGATGGTCAATATTCATCTTTCAATATAATATCAATAGTTTTTGTTTACAATACTGAGACTGCCACTGTACTGGAAATGTCTGTAAGCAATGCAGCCACACATGTTTGTATTTCTAACATTTGACTATCAATAGGTTTAGAGGAATTGGTACAAATCAACCCTTTTGAGTAATCACAGATTGTTTGCTAGATTCACTGTTTTTCTCAAAATACCCGTCATCCTTTACAATAGCCAAGGAGATGTTTTCAGGTTTCTTATTTTATTTCACAAACAGTTCAAAACCCAAATATTGTTTTAGTTTACTATCATATATGGAAAAGAAAATGTTCTTTCATAAATGTTTTGTAGATATAGATATTAGCTTTTTTAACAATCACAATTGTTCTGTTTCAGAAAATATTCAGATTGAATCAGTAGTAGTTTAACAGGAGAGTTTCATGTATTCTCGATTCTTTAAAAAAATAATTTTCACACACATGCTCAACCTGCTTATGGCCTTTTCATACCGGAAACTACAACTGCAGTCGTGTGATAAATGTGCTAAAGTGGTTAACCCAATGTTAACCTAAGACTGCAACGGTACTTTCAGAATGTTGTCAATGCTTAACACAGAATAATGAGTTATTGTAAAGTATGTTTGTGATTAAAGTTTCCAACTTTGAGTTAATGAAAACTTAACTGCATTATGCTCAATATTCCATTCATATATATTCAAGGAAATGCGTAGGTGTCATTGTCTGCTGAGGAGTGTGTAAGTGACAGAAAGCTGGAGCTGATGCAAGCAAGGAACCTTAAAGCTCATCCTAAAGGTCAGAGGTCACTGATTAAGAGATGACTGTCCCTCTGATCTCTTCTCACCTAAACCTCACACCCCCTCTCCCTCTCTCTCTCTCTTAGGAACATACACACACACACACACACACACACACACACACACACACACACACACACACACACACACACACATTAATATCATTTCCATCTGCTCCATATGTAAAAGCCCAATTAAAGCAATGCACTTTGGCCTTACCTGTCCAAATTTAATTTGAATGTCTACAACCATCCCCACACACGTTTCACACACACTCACACACACAATCACAGTGTGCTTAAAGGCTGTCCAGACTTTGACCTTTCATTGTTGTCTCTCCGCAGGGCCTGAGCTGATTTGTCAGCCTTGTGCAGGTTTGATTTTTTGCCCCCCGAGTGTCCTCTGGATATCAGCTGACCATGGTGGTCTGAAGAGAGGGAATCCCGGCACAGTGTGTGTTCACTCTAACACAGCAAGAAGGCTCGACGGAGAGAGGAGCAGAGACGGACCGCAGCGAAGAGAAATAGCTTATTTAAACACAAAATGTCGCAAAACGGAGAACTGGTGGCTTCTTACATTAACTATAAACTCTCCCAGAGAAACTATCCTCTCAATCACATGGAGCTCTTGGAGCATCCGAACAGGACTGATGGGGAGGAGGCAGGGTTGGGTGAGGAGCAGAGGGTAGCGACGCACGCCAACGGGACTGTAAACGGCACAAGTCCCGGGACCCCGCCGGCATCCCCGCTGAGGCAGCAACGGTTGCCCTCAACAACGGACCTGGACGCAGTGAAAGAGGCCCTCCGGGACTCGGCCAACGAGTTCGAGCTGCGGTACGCCCTCGCCTTCAGTGATCTGCACAACCAGCTGCACATCACGCCAGCCACAGCTTACCAAAGCTTCGAGAATGTGATGGACGAGGTGTTCCGGGACGGGGTCAACTGGGGACGCATCGTAGGGCTTTTTGCTTTTGGCGGGGCGCTGTGCGTGGAGTGCGTGGAGAAGGAGATGAGTCCGCTGGTGGGCAGGATCATCGAGTGGATGACCGTCTACCTGGACAACCACATCCAGCCCTGGATCCAGAGCCAAGGAGGATGGGTGAGTCTCACACACACTCTCAAAGAAAAGTGTGTTTAGGTGCTGTGTGCTTGTAATGAATAGCACCTATTATACTCTTCAACATTACAGCGTACATTGTATGGATATGCTGACGTGGCCTGTATGGAAATTGTACATGTTGACACTTTTTATACACAAGACTGCTGGCAGCAACACTGGAAAACAGCAGTCAGTTGGAAAATAGTTTGAAATAAAAACAAATCCTTTACTTATTTTTCCAATTGCGTGTGAAAAATGTGTATGGATGCTATTGACTTTAGTTGATGTGAGGGTTTAGAAGTTTAAGCCGTTTTGTTATTATTTCTTTATTCCTTTATTTGGGATCACAGTAGCAGAGCACACATTCATCTTTAAGTTAACAGGCTGAGCTATCGTTTCAAATATTAACAATCTAGTAAGAGCTCACAAAAATAATACAACGATGGCCTTCTGTTTGAGATAAAACCAGGAAAATAATTATATAAAAATAATTTCGAATGTTGAGAGCATTTAAAGAATTTGTCCCAAATAAAGTCACCAATTTTGTATAAAATGTAAGCCAGAAAGTATTTACTTTTGGACAGGCCCAAGCAGCTGGAAGAATCTGAGTGGTGACACTTTGGAGCAGTAGTGATCAAATATCTTTGAAGACTCTTCCAACAAATGCCCTCCATGAGTCGTTTCATTTATGTAAAGATAGAGCTGTGTTGAAGGCTGGACCCCTCATGCCTATGAAAGTTGCTCAGTCCTGTCTCGGATCAGCCAAATGAATGGAGAGGGACCATAATGTACAATTATACATACATTTACAGGCTTACCTGTACCCATGTAAGTCGATGGGAAAAAGTATTTTTTGGCCCCATTGCGTCACGTGACAAACACAGAGAATATGAAAATGTTCTTCAACGCCTACCGCACTTTCTAGGGGCTTGAGTTGTTCTTGATATATTTGATTGAGATTCACAATATTTCGTCCAGACTTCATCTGGAGTGGAACTGTTTCCCATATTTGTTTCTCTGCAAGTATTTCTTTTATGTGTTGGGATTGTATACATCATTCCTGTTGGTCAGCTGTGTGCCTGCCTGACCTCTGGTGCCTTAGTATCGATGATGTGGTATCCCACAGTAAAAAGATAACCCAGTGCATAGTTCTTATTCCATCCTACATGTTAAGACTTGCTTTATGCAGATAAGCCTGCATGCTAACACTTCACCTGTATCAGCCTCCATGACATTGTAACATGGCACAGGGTTGGGGTTGACTCTGTGAGCAGTTGAGGATCAAAGACTTCAGATTAGATACAAATAAAGACTGGCTAGATTACAAGAAGCACAATCGTTATATAAAAAAGCCCATCTGTGCTTAAAAGCATTAAAAGCAGAATGTTGGTGGTCAGCAGCTGGTTCAGCTGTTCTCTAATTGATCAGCAGCACGGAGCTCAATGAGCTGAATCGAAGTGGGGGCTTAACAGGCTCCATCAGGGCTTTGGAGCTGCCTGCAGCCTGGGGATCGAAGTTCTCTTGTCACAGGGTGGGATGAAGTCCAGGGCTTTTACAGAAAGCCCTTTGTTTTACTCCGGCCAGTTGATTGGCTCTGTGCTTTGTTTTTCTTCTCCTTCTTCCACCACTGTCCTCTCTTCTCTTGTGTTCTTCATCAAGGGAGCTGCATCCAGATGAAAGCTCTTGTCTTGGGTTGGCTTGAAAGTGCACTGCCCTGGTACTGACATCTCTGTGTGTTCTGTGCATGTGTTCTCATGATTACCTACAGGACAGTTAAGGTCAGCTCTTTTCCTTTGTGCTGGCCATTTGATGGTACGAAGGAGAGGGGGGTGAGGGGAGGGGCTGTTTATATTTGCTCCAGCTCTGCACAACACCGGGTCAAAGGTCGATCCTATGGAAACTGACATCTCAGTAGCGTACCTAGCTAAAAATCCCATTTGGCGATTGTGCTGTTGTTTGCACTGCAGACCTAGGATGTATTTATTGAATACAATGCTGGACTGGAGATAGCACAGAGGAGAGGGGGACAGCGAGGATGAGGCTATGGGAGAAGGGGGCAGTATGATGTGTTATAGTGAAGCATACTGGGGTTCCTTTGTTGCTGCATCAGCATCCTCCTTCCCTGCTCCTGGAGGCACGCTCTCATAAATACTGCCCCACTTCTGGAGCCCATGCTTTTAGTCATGCTAACAGCATTTTGAGGGAGGGAAATGTGACGCACTTTGTTTTTAGACTCACATTTCTATTACTTTGAAATGGTTTGCCATAAACGTTGCATTCATTTCACGCATACCTTAAAGAACTCATAGTCCCCCATTACCCCACTAGGGCATTGCATTTCCACATTTCAGGGTTATGTATGGTTCCTGGAGTCTCTAAAAGTACAACTGGGGCTTCAGTCCACTTTGTGTTCTGAAGGCAGACACCCTCTCCAGATTTAAGAGTTTAAGACCTTTCTATTGAAAAAGGCAAATACTTTTGTACTTTTACTTAAGTACAATTTTGAATGCAGGACTTCTAAAACTGTAGTATTGCTACCTTTACTTAAGTAAATAAGGAGTACTTCTTACAATTTAGCATTCATGTTTTGTTGATAGCACGACTCCATATGTGTTGGTTCTATGTAAAATCACAGGTTCCCAGGAAACCCTCTGTTTAGCTTAAACAAATAGAGATAATGTGAAAATAATACCCACCTAATTTAATTAGTATTTCATTTGTCCAAACATCCATTTAAAGTAGGGCTGGGCGATATATCGAGTTTACACGATACATCGTGGATTGCACTCCATGCGATGTCGTAAATGACCACATCGTGAACATCGAGTATTATGTTGTCAAATCAATTTCCCGCCGCGGCCAAAATGAGCTTTCCTTTCTCCCTCATAGACACAGTCACACACGCAGGCACACACGCAGGCCCCGTCTAACTTGCACACAAACATTACACACATGCACAGTGACAGAGAGCAGGGCTTGACATTATAAATGGCCCGCTGGCTCGGAAAGCACTATTTAGACACCCCGGGCCAGCATAACGTACTTTCCACTTGCCCGCTCGGCCACTAAAATATTGCTTAAAAAATAAAATAGTCCTGT